AGAAAGGGATTCCTTGTTTTGGGCTAAGTTGTAATGTTAGTGTCCTTGTATCTTTGTATTTTCTTCTTTCCTTTCTTGAAGTTCTTTGTGACTCTTGGAAGATAAGTGTGTTTGTCTTCCACTTGTAAATTTTCTTGATGAATTAATGAAAGTGTTATTGATAAAAAAAAAATAAAATCTTACTCATTTATAAAAAAAGGGGGGGCTGGGTTTCATGTTGGACAAACAAACCAAGGCCTAATAAATTATTGAGCACAAAGCCAATGAAGTTAAGCCCATTTCAGCATGTCTAAATTTTATCTTTCTCAAGTTGGTCCAATGTGCTGACCAGAGATTAGTCCATCAAATAAATAAAAGTTTGATTGTATCTTTTAGATCTACTACATATTTGAGAATATCTTCAACATTCAGATAGGTTTTTCAATGTTTTCCATCTTAGCAATTATTTTCATGTTTAGTTATATTCAATGTTGTTAGACTCTGATTGGATAGAGAACAATTTGAAAATGGTTCTAGGTTATCTTTTAAAGCTTGTTTACATTAAAGCAATAAATATTAGAGGCTATAATACATATTTTTTGTTTTGATCAGCACAAGAGTAATTTATTAATGCTTGAAAAGTTACAGATCCTTGCTACACAGTAGCCCAAATACATCGGAAACCAGAATGGCCACCCTGATTACCATGCTCCCCTTTTACTAATACAGATTACAACATTGCCCAAAATAGAGTGGATCTGTCCACTCCCTGTTTTGCGGGAACATCTGCCAGTCCATTTGCTGTTCTTTTACCCATCCAAAGCTAGTGTTGCAACCTTTTGCAAGGTGGTCAATTTCCCTAAATGCAAATTTATATTTCCAAGGGGCTGAACTAGTTTGTTTTGCCCAAGAAATAACCAATAAGAATCTCCTTCCACTTCAAGCTCTCTAACACCCATATGTGTTGCCATTTTACTCCTTGTAAGAGAGCCATTGTCTCAGCCTTAACCGAGTCGCCAAATCCATTTGGCCCAGAGAATAAAGCCACAACTGCACCTAGATGGTCTTGGTTCCTAAAAACTTCCTCTATACCTGCCCTCCCCGGATTACCAAGGGAGCTCCCATCAAAATTTAATTTCAATTTGTTTGGCCTTGGATGTTTCTATTCCATTATCACTACTTCTTTGTGTGTATCTGTTTGTACCACTTCAGATCATTTCCATAATAAGTCATTTGTGGAAACATCTCTAAACAGCTCCAAAGTTTTAGACCAATGTGCAGATCGATCCTTATTGGATTCAATCACTTCCTCCATTGATCTACTCTTTTCTTGGAGGTTATAATACATATTAACTGATATAAATGGGGTAAGTTTGACCAAGTCAGCATTTCAAATAACTGTCTTGTCTTTTGGTTCCTCCCTATTCCCGGTTCTAGTGGTTTGACCATCCTGTCCAGTGCAAGTGGATAACAATGGTTCTACTTGATAGGAAAATAAATATCTTATAGATCTTAAAAGAGGTATATTGTTTCATCTTCGATGCCTAAGAAGGATGTAGCTTTTGACATTAAAGATTTCCGTCCAATAAGTTTGATCTGTAGTCCGTATAAACTAGTTGCAGAAGTTGTGCCAAGAAGGTTAATGGGAATGATTCATGAAGTAGTAGATGAAACTCAAATGGATTTTGTAGAAGGTAGACAAATTCTGGACGGTGTTCTTGTTGCTGGTGAGTGTATTGAATCAAGAATTAAGAGTGGGAGGCTGGGGCTGGTTTGTAAGATCGATATAGAGAAGGCCTATGACCATGTGGAATGGGTTTTTTTGGAGGAGGTTCAGAGGCTGATGGTGTTTGGGGAGAAGTGGAGGAACTGGATTTATGCTTGTGTGACCTTGGAGTTTTTTCAAGCTTCTAGGGGATTAAGACAGAGAGATCCCTTCTCTCGCTGTTTGTTTTAGTTATGGAGATTCTTAATCTGTTTTTCACTAAAAGGGTGCAGTTTGGTCTGATTGGAGGCTTTAAAGTGGGGGTAGGTGGTCCTTGCATCTCCCAACTTCAGTATGTGGATGACACATTGATTTTTTTTGATGCATCTGTGGACCAGGTACAGAATCTGAGGGCTATTTTGGCTAATTTTGAGTTGTTGACAAGCTTGAAGGTGAACCTAGCAAAGAGTACCATAATTGGGGTTGAGGGGATCAGGAGAGAAGTGTTGGAGGAATTTGCTGCAGCTTTTGAATGTCAAGTAGGTGAACTCCTCTTCTACTATTTGGGTATGCCGGTTGGGGCTAAGATTACTGCTATAGCTATCTGGAGGCCAATAATTGAGAGAGTGGAGAAAAACTAGACAGGTGGAAGGCTAAATACTTGTCCTTAGGGGGAAGAATTACGTTGGTTAGAAGTGTCTTCTCAAGTCTACCGACCTATTACATCTCACTCCTAAAGATTCCAGCCGAAGCACAAAGAAAATTGAAAAAAATTCAAAGAGGTTTTCTTTGGGAAGGTTTGGGGGCTCAAGGAAGTATCATCTAGTCAGCTGGGACAAAGTGTGTAGACCAAAAAAGAATGGGGGTTTGGGGATTTGCCTGCCGAGTGAGGATTTTCAACAAGGCATTGCTTGATAAATGGCTTTGGAGATTTGGGTGGGAATTAGGGAGGTTTCTTCTTTTGGGGTGAGTGTTTGGAAGGGAATCATGAAGTTCAACCAAGAATTTAAAAATCTTACTAGATTCTTGGTAGGGAATGGGGCTAGGATAAAATTTTGGGAAGATGATTGGAGTGGAGTTGGGAGATTATGTGGGTTGTGTCCGAGATTATTTTAGATTGGCCGACCACAACATTACTAACAACCAATGCTATGAGATGAGTGGGGATAAGTTGATTTTGATCCCCTAAATTCAGAAGACCAGTTTGGGATAGGGAGGTGGAGTGTATTAGGTTACTAAATCCTGGAAAAAATCAAAGGTGTCAAGAGGGTGAGTTGTGGTGGAAGGAGTGCAAGGATGGAGAGGTTTACCGTGAAGTCATTCTATTCATCTTTACATGTGAAGGTGTGTCTTAACCATAGATCATCTTAAAATCAGAGGTTTCAGTAGGCAAATATGTGCTTGATGTGCAAAGAGAACAAGGAAACAATTTTGCACTTCTTTTGTAGAATTGTTGACTTCTGCTGTAAGTTCTACTCAGCTCTGTTTGGATTGAAAGTGTTCCAGCCAAGGTCCTCATCTGAAATCTTTTCTAAATGGCCAGCTTTTAGGGGGAGCAAAAAAGCTAAGATGGTGTGGAGCTGTTTACCATACAATTTGCTGTATGTTGGACCATCTCGAAAGAAGGGAACATAAGAGTGAAGATAAACAGTGGAAGATTAAGAATATTGTGGCAACCATCAGAGGAACAGAACAGAAGAGAAGGAAGGGGCTGACCAAGGATGGATTAGTTGTGGTTCAGCTTCTGACAGTGATGGAAGCTTGGAAGATTGTGAGAGCTTATGCAGTGCGGAAGACGAAGATCCTTCAGAGGAACAGAACAGGGATCCCTTCAGCTTGGATCTTCTGTTCTTTGGGGATTCGGTGGGGGAGGAAAAGGAGGAGGGGGAGGTGCGGGTGAATGTTATTCCTTCTTGTAACAGAGAAGATCTTAACCTGAAGTTGGCTGAGCCCCTCCCAAGTT